AAATGTCTCCATTTTGTCTGGATCCATTTGAGGAGCTTCCGTCTGCCTCCTCAGCTAGCAGATAGTCTAGGACAGCAGGTGTCCTCACAAATACATCATCATCGCCCTTAAAAATGAAGCGGGCATGCGGGCATCGCCTTGAGAACCAGTCCCAGAATAGCACGTCCTTCAAGGTGAGGTTGAAGAAGGTGTCCACAAAGTCCCACTGGATGACATCACCATATTTTTCACTCTCTAAATGCAATTTCTCTTCAATATGCAAGTCTTTGGACTTCCCCAGAAGGAAGACCCTGCGGACGAGCCTTTGACGTCCACCTAGTGTTTTTATATTTCCTGAACGCCCCCATGTTTCCCATATGGCTTCCCTGTTCTCAAAGTTTGCAGTCTGAGTTTTGATGGCCATGAGCAATGTTGGTGCCCCTTTCTTTGCTTGAGCATCACAAACATCTAAAGGATCTATGATCAGCAGATAGTCTCGACAGTGCATGGTGGTCACAACATTCTTCATCTGGATTGGTAGTTTGGCGTAATCTGGCATTGTATTGTTAATCTCATAATTTGGAAAACATCTATCTCCAGTCCTTTTGGACATTTCTGTTTTGTAAGAAACACTGGATGGGTTTTCAGCCAGATGAGGCCTTAGGATGGGGTTATACTGGCGATCCATCATGTACTGGATGATGTTCCACAGAGCGCCACTGTCTAGCTTGCTTCTCCAGAAGGATTTCGCAGGATGAGGAGCCAGATCTCTGGAGTGTTTGAGACCGCTGGCGGTAAAGTGTGCCGGCAGCACCGAATGAACAACATGTGCACCATGGGGCGCCCCATGCTTCATGATATAGCACAAAGCAACTGAGACATAGATGTAAACTGGGAGCAGCAATATGCACGGCGAACAGAAGAACAGAATCCGCCGGCGGTATCGACACAGACATGAAGCCATAAACTTAGGAAAGAAAGATTAAGAACGTTACACAGATCGTTAAATGAGATGTTTTTTCCTCAATCACTTAGACTATTACACCAGTGACAGGCGTCACTCACTGGTGTAGTTACAGATTATTTAGACAAAGACAACAATCTTCAAAAATTCCCCAATCGTAACCCTAATTTTCACCAAAATGGAACGGTACGTTTTTGTTAGAGCATATTATATTTTTTACATTTATATAAATTCATACATTTACATAAAATTATTTAGCATAAAATGTAGTAACCTATAGCTGGCCTACTTAATAATATTTATAATAATAAAGTTCATTATAAAAGTACTTAAGTTTTAAAATTATTTAAATAAAAAACACTTTAATTTAAAACTATACTAACGAAACAACTCATAAGGTGAGACTACTCTAAAACGCTAAGCACAGCAGATATCGTCTAACTACTAACTACGTTAACTACTAAATCGCTTTAAACTTACCACGCTGTCTGGTTTTGCATTTTATGATGAATTTCGCGTCATTCACATGGTAATTCCCACAATGTACGCGCGGAAGCTAAGAGACAAAGATATTAAGTGGAATATGTGGAAACGTCTTGTAACAAAACAAACCAACAAATATGTTTTTAACAGTAAATTCACATTCCCTCATTGCTCGTGCACTGTGGAGCGCGAGAAGTGACCTCAGGTGTGCGTGCGTGAGGCCTCGCCGACGATACTCACTTGTGATGAAAGCCGTAATAGAGAGAAGAGCGGGGCTAGTTGTCACACTTTTACTCTAGTCTAGTGGATATTTCTCAGGGTAGTTATTTTAAAAGTGTAATTCTGTATAGCACAAATCTTTAAGTATTGAGTACCAAAAATCTGTTGAACAGATGGAAACAAAATAATTGAATAAATAAATAATAAAATAAAAGTCTATCTTTTAACCTAAGAACCTTTTTGAGAACAACCTCCACATGCAACACCAATATCTGTTGTCCCCTATTTATTGTAAGAATATACATATACACACATCTGTTTTTGTATGTTGTGGTTTCATTCACTTAGACTTCTTGTTTGACAAGTATGATGAGTTGTCACCATATATTGTTGTTTTGTTTACTGTGTGGAGACGTGCTGATATAGCGTTTGGTCTCGTTCTGTATCTCGTATCTTGTCAGTGTCTGCGCTTGCTTGGCCATTTGTTGTGGAGAAAATAAGGAAAGTGTGTTCAAGCGCCAGCAGAAAACAGTGTAAAGAAATAGTCTTTGAGAGAAGCAGTCTTTATCAGCGGAAGTTAAAAGCAGCTCGTAAGTGTATTTACTTGTGTCATTAGTGTTTAGTGCAGTTGTCCTTGCTAGGAAACGCTTGTTTTGTTTACTGTGTGGAGACGTGCTGATATAGCGTTTGGTCTCGTTCTGTATCTCGTATCTTGTCAGTGTCTGCGCTTGCTTGGCCATTTGTTGTGGAGCAAATAAGGAAAGTGTGTTTAGCTGAATTAATGTAGTATTTGGTTAGAAGGGTATAAAAAAGCTTAGTATACTCGTGTGAAGACTGAAGAGTGTAAGACCATCGACTCTACCGTGCGACTCCACCGGGCAGGGACACCGGCAAAGGATAAGTATCGCTTTTTATTTCTCCTCTTTCCTACTAACGTTACTTGTTTCACTTCTTTTTCCGTTTTTATAACCATTTCTTACTATGTGTAAGTAAGTTGTTGTTTTTTTAGCATGTGTGTTTGGCAGTGTTATTTTTTAGGATTACTGATAAACTACTGTCGTTTGATTAGTATTATTTGTATTTGTTATTTATTTAAATTTTAGTTAAATTATGTCTGATTTTATTATGTCTGTATAGGTCTTTTATTACATGTTTGGTTTTATTTAATTTGAGTTATTTTAATACTTCGACAAACTAAATGGAAATGAAATAATATATATATTAAATGTATAAATGTGTATGTATATATGCATGTGTGTGTGGTTGTACATACACATATGTATTTTTTTTTTTTGGTGTTTGGCTTAGTGTTATGTTAGAATCATTATTATACTCATACATTTGTTCTTTAATATTTTGAATTGTTTTTAGCTTTATTTTTTGTTTTTCATTTAAATGTTAAGTTTGGAAATTTTGTTGTATGCATTTGTCATTTTTATTTAATCTCTTTATTTTTAAAATGTGTATAGGTAGTATTTATAAAGTTTTAGCTTTTAGTTTTGGATCTGTTTTTTAGTTGTGTTAATACTACAATTGATTGCTTCTGTTGTCCTCATTTGTAAGTCGCTTTGGATAAAAGCGTCTGATAAATGACTAAATAAAAAAAAAATATTGCATTGCCATATGAAAGCCCCACAGATAACACGTCACTCCCCTCAGGGATTAAGATCAGATGATCTGCATTACAAAACAAAATATCAGTATCACTGTTGATGTTGATTAGAATCTAGAATTTAGAATCAAATATTTTCATCAGTGTGATGATGATGATGATAGTATGAGCTCACCAGACCTTTTGTATGGAATCAATCATAGGTAAAACGCTCTCATCTTCTCCCCAGGCAGCTCCCCCACAAACTCATTATCTTCAGGCTGCTTGTTGATAAATGTGTTCCATACCAAGGATTTTTGAAGATTCTGTCACCACTAGATTAACTAATCCTTGACAGATTCTTGGTGAGACAAGTCAAGCTGGTTAAGTAGGGGTTACAGAACGTTGAGTTCCTCTCTTGCTTCATTTGATATATGTTATTACCATCTAAACAGTAATATTACTATTGAAAGTTGCACTGAAATTACACAACAAAAAACTTTGTAAAACAATTTTCATTCAGAAATTGCTAGAAAATTTCACAATCAGTTTCAAAGAAACAGTAAGTAACACTGAAATAGTTAAATTCGGAAGTAGAAAAACATGTAGAAAACATGTTAAGTAGTGTTTTCTTGTAAAATGTACTTCAATAATCTTTATTTACTACTTCAAAAAAATTAAAAGAGAAATATTTCATGCTTAATATATTTATATATATTATTTTTATTTCGGTAACACTTTAGGTAATAAGTTCACATTAATTGCCATTAGTTAACTGCATTATAAGTTAAAATGAACTAACAATGAAAAATACTTCTAAAGTGTTTATTAACCTTACTTAATGTTAATTTCAACATTTACTAATACATTAAAATCAAAAGTTGTATTTACTAACATTATATAATGTAATTGAGGTAACATTAACAATAAACAGTTAATGATTGTTAACAAAGATTAATAAAACTCCAACAAATGTTTTGCTCATTGATAGTTAACTTTAGTTAATGCAGTAACTAATGTTCCCTAATGTGGCCTTAAAGGCACAATATGTAATTTTCGCCGCGAGAGGGCACGTATTCAAAATAAACAAAGAGGCAAAGGCGTAGTTTGATGACGCCGTGACTGAGTATGGAATCATGGGAGTTGTGGTCTTCATTGTAAAGTGTTACCCATATTTTTCCTCTAAAATGTCTCATTGTCATTAATAACTTCATGTAAGTGTATTCTTTACTTGTGTTCAATGCATTCATCTGATGTCAAATGTTTTTGCAAATTAGTTTCAATAAATGCTCTTTTTGAACTGAGGACTTCACAGTACTTTTCAAGCACTTTTATCTCTAAAATTCATGGACAATTTGATTCCTCAAAATATTATCCAGACCTGTACCCACCATAGAGACAGAGGAGGACGTATATCGTCTAATATTAAAATGAGTTGTTGATCAATATAAGTTTTTCAAAGACCAGTTGTCAAGTTTTTACCTCCAGTCCCCACTAAAACCAAACATTTGGTTGCATCCTTGAAACAACTCAAAGTTCTGTCAAAAGAAAAAAATAATAAATTGTTGTTCCCATGAAAACATTTTCTTATTATGAAGACATATATATCACTCCAAGAAACAGACATACATCCTGATTAATTCATTTTTTAAAATGGTAGGAATTAAGATTTTTTTTTTTTCCATATGAACAAGTGGTTTGATTTTATTAAATTTTGTTACAAGTACTATTTTTTGAGAAAACTTGCAAAAATTTCTAGCATATTCCAAGTCAAGGATGAACATGAAAAAAGGGGATTTATTGCTGAATGTCAAATGAAAACTACACTTTCACCGTGTGAATACGACTCAGTTGCTGCGGTTACCATGCACCCATCTATCTGAACCACTAGAACATGCAGAGGGGGGGACGCCTTCACAGGCGGAGAGGAAGAACAGAAGAAACAGAGAGAGAAAGACAGGAAGAAAATCAATCGGTGAGACGAGCAGTGCTATAAACGACTGTGCACACAGAATGAATCTTGAGCATGTGTATATGTGTGTGTGTGTAAGTGTGTGCATCTGCATGTGTGTCTAAGTGTAAGTGTGTGGGTGGCGGGTTTGTCTTTTCTAATGTAGTTGTAGTTTGCTGGGCTCTGGAAGTAGGGGTTTACACTTTAGAATCCACCTAAAATAGCACGTCTAGTAGCCGAACATGCTTCGAGCAAGTCTCCAAACTTGCATACAGATGTGTCAAAAAAAGAGAGCGTGGACTGGGAACGACCCCACTGAAACAAAACGAAGGAAAGCCAACAAAACATGGAGATAACATTCGCAGATAAACACATCTGGTCGTATCGTTCTTCATCGTCTTTCCAGCATGACGCAGACACGACGGGCAGTAATGGATCTGTTTTATGGGCAATGCAGTTTTCGATGAAAAGTCCTGAGACACAGTGCGGCTTAAAGCTGCTGGCATAGGAATGGGAACGTGTGGGGGAGAGATGTAGGTCCGTATAGGCTAGAATCAGGCTGGATTGGTTCCTCCGCAGGCCAATGACTACACAAAGAAGGAAGGTTACAGTGCAATGAGCTCGTGTCACCACTAGGGGGTCTGGTTTAACCCTTTAGCGTTAACCCAGAGCTCCCTTTCGACAAAGCCAACATCCTAAAAAGAGTACAAGCATACGTATACACACACAGGCGCACGTCGAAACTCACAGCACGCACACGCGCTCGAAACGCTAACCTGAAGACGAACACAACGCGAACGAAACGCGTTCTCGCACGAAACTGCGTACACAAAGACACGTGCGTATACACTGAGGTTCAACGATACTCTCACGCACACGGACAGAAGTGTAAACGCATTCATTGGACGCACAGACCACCGTTTTGAAAACCCTGAACACCAGGGCCGGTTCTGCGACCCAGCGTCATGCCCTGTGAACTCCTGCGTACCTCTGTTTCAATGGAAACAATATGCGACAACCAGTTGAGAGAAAGGAAAACGTCGGTTATGTGTGCGCGTGAATCCTAGTCATGTAAACAAACACCTTACACAGAAGTGATTCGATATTGCATGGTGTCTGAATAATATCACAGTTCAAATGGGGAGATCCTGAACAAACGAAACAAACGAAAGAAAAAAAAACAGAAAAACATGTCTATAAAACCCAAGAGTCTGTTTTTAAGAAAGGCTACAAAAATTAAACTGAACCTCCCTCGTCGGCAAACAGCAAAAGGCACCACAATATTATTCTATTTCTAACTCGTGAAAAAATTGGCACGTAATTCTTCTTCGTAATGCTGTAAATCAAAAAAAGGAATTACATATAAATAGTTTTCCCCCTATAAAAAAAGTCTTTGCTGCTAGCTAGTAGACAATTTTTGCTGCAATGAAAATAAATATTTCATTTGTTTAGAATATCTGTCTGTTATATAAAATAAAAAATATTTCTCATAGGTGCAGGTCTATAGCATATCATTTGTTTTTTCGCGCCTACGCAAGTTCGTTCGTCCTTGCTCTCGTCGTTCTTTTTTAAAGGGGTGTATTGTCCGGTCTGGACCGTGACTGCGACAGTTTGTTGGCCTGCACGTTTCCCCGGGAGCCCGAGCGTCCCGTGTTGGTGAAAGTCCGTGTGTCGTTGGGTCGGTAGATGGTGGCCGGTTCGGTGGCATTCATGTTCTGCATACTGAGAAACGGCGTGCTCTCGCCGTGGCCGAGGTCGCCGACCTCATCGTCCTCCCACTCGCTGTCTGACAGGCAGCTTTGAGAGCTGTAGTTCCTGGGGCCCGGCGTGCGCTGCGACACGTGGCCGTTGACCCGCGACCTCCTGCGCCAACGGCGGCCGCTGCTGCTCTTCTTCGGCTGCTCTCGGGGGGACATGTACTCCTGCGTGGTCTCGTAATCCTCGTCGTCCACGAAGCGGTACGGGCTGGACGGAAGGGAGCCCGTGCTCTCTGCCGCGTAATACGGGCGTCGGGATCGTCGGTAGCGGTGCAGGAGGGGCTGGTCGTCGTCGGGCGAGTAGGCTGCCATGGCGATGGCCGAAGCGGCGGGTGGCAGGGAGAGGGCGTGGCTGGCGTTGGGCGTGGTGATCTGAAAGGTAGGCACCTGCGGGGGCAGTGAGGAGTGAAAGTCCACCGGAGATAGACGCGCCGGTGTGGTCAGAGCAGACACGTACCTGCAAAGATGCGGAAAAACATGGGGTGAGAGACGGAACGGACAAATCTTTTAAATACACACTACCGTTAAAACAAATTTGGGGTCAGTGAGAAGTCTCTTATGCTCAGCAAAGCTGCATTTATCTGGTCAAAATTATTCCAGTGAAATCAGTAATATTGTGAAATATTTTTACAGTTTAAAATAAGTTTACTTTTTGAGTATATTGTAAAATGTAATTTATTCCTGTTATGCCAAAGCTGAATTTTCTCTCCAGTCTTCAGTGTCACATGATCCTTCAGAAATTATTCTTATATGCTGATTTGCTGCTTAAGAAATATTTCTTATAATTAAAGTTGAAAACAACTGTGTTGCTCAATATGTGATAAACATGATTTTTTAAATACGTTTATAAATAAAAAGTTTAAAAATTTAGATAGAAATCTTTTGTATTTCTTGTTATTATCAATGTTGAAAAAAAGCTGTGCTGCTTGGAATTTTTTAGAAACGGTGATACATTTCTTTTCAGGATTCTTTGATGAATATAATGTTCAAAAGAACAGCATTTATTTGAAATAGAAATCTTTTATAACATTACAAGTGTCTTTACTGTCATTTTCAATCAATTTAATGCATCCTTGCTAAAAAAAAGTTTTAATTTCTTTAAAAAAATCTTATTGACCTCAAACATTTGAACGGTAGTGCATGTCTGCTGCATGGTATAATTTATATGAATTACATATTAGCGCATTCAGAGCAATATTTATAGGGAACAAAAAATAGTATTTGAATCAATGATTTATGATGAATCAACCAATTATATTTACATTTAGTCATTTAGCAGACGCTTTTATCCAAAGCGACTTACAAATGAGGACAATAAAAGCAGTCAAAACTAATAAAAGAGCAACAATATATAAGTGCAAATGACAAGTCTCGGTTAGCCTAACACAGTACACGTAGCAAGGTGTGTATATATATATATATATATATATATTGCCTTGGATTTAATGCGAGCAGCTACTGGTAGCCAGTGCAAATTGATGAACAGAGGTGTGACATGCGTTCTTTTCGGCTCATTAAAGATTAATCTTGCAGCGGCATTTCGGATTAATTGTAGACATTATAATGACATTAAATCTAAATTACACTAAACACAAAAAAATCATAGAAAACAGTTAAAAAAAATGCAATAATGCATTATTTTATATTGCAAAAGCATTTAACTAAATATTTTCCTACAAAAATAAAATTGCAATCTGTGAGCGATGTACTTAATCAGCCTGTTTACATCAACCATTCAACCAAAACAATTAATGAAAATGAATCTGACTTCTATTTTAGAGAGAGAAGACAAGTGTAGAAAAAGCAGAGCAGTAGTGTTTTGTTACACTACACTGCTACCTGTTGGAAAGAAATAGGAAACATTTTTTGAAAGGAGGTACATTTAATCATTTAGCAGATGCTTTTATCCAAAGCAACAAACAGTTCAGCTACTGTCAACGCTACTGAACATATCTGAGATCTGCTTATATTGTGCTATGGTTCAACACCAAATATCAAATTCCTGATCAAATAATGCTTACAAACTTATTTAACCAACAGGACAATCAGCATGCTTTCATCTGACCACAAATATACTCAGTGTATTTTATCTGTGAAGGTGAACACTTCTTATCTGCTGCTGTCGTTTCCTTTTTCACTCACCTGTCACTGTGAGGTGAGTCCCGCAGGGAGTCGTAAGAGTCTCCGTACTGTAGGGGGCACTGTGTAGTGTCAGGATACCCACAGTATGCTGCTCGGCGGGCCCGGGCCTCCATACACGCTGGGCTGCTGCATTTACTGGTGCCAACAGAGGAAGAGAGTGCCCCCGACTGGCAGTCAGAATGTATGCTGTCCGTCCGCTCCATACTCCATGTGCGCTCCTCGTGCCTGACAGGTGGGAACAACACAAAGGGAAGTAGAAAATGTGAGAAAAATGCAAAAAAAATTAAATAAAAAAAAAAGTATTTAAAAAGATAAGAATTTTTCTTTTAAAGAGATTTTTACCTTTATTCAGGTTGCAATAAATTGGTAGTAATGACATTTTAATTAAAAAAAGTAGAATATCTCTCTTTTTGAACTCTTTGATCAAAGTATATGAAAAAAAAATTGTTCTTCACAAAAAATGTTTTTTAAAATATTAAGCAACTGTTTTTAACATTAATAATAAGAAGAAATAACTGTTTTCTATTTTAACAGCAAATCAGCATATTACAATGATTTACAATGAGATAGATAGATAGATAGATGTAAATATACATATATATGAGACTGGAAAAATATTTGGGGTCTGATGGAAAAATAGATATATGTAAATAGTTTTGGCTAGTTAGGTTAGTAAATGAACAGCTAAATAGACAGATGGACAGAGGAGATATCAAGTCAAGGATCTATATATGGATATATTGGCAGATGAATCAGTCAGGGAAGAGTCAGTACCGGTGACTGGAAGCGTGAGAAGCTGTGGAGGTGTGGTGGGATCGTGATGACATTCGGCTGCCCGAAAAATTGCCTGATGTCTCTGTTCCGTGTCGTACTACTCGCTCAGTTGCTGGGACATTCTTAGATATATACTGCAATATAAAGAGTAGCATGAGATTGTGTCGTTTTCACACTTGAGTCCTAACCTAAATTTAATTACATTTGAAGAATGCTTAGTCATCGATGTGTGCACCACAGGAAACAGTTTATCACAATAATGTAATCAATTGCAATTTACTTCTGAATTGCTATAACATCCAGAAGAAACCACACTGCAGTTCACATAATTCTGAACCCTTTTCAGAAATACCGGACTTTAAGAACTTTCAATCTAATCAAACAAACAAACCCAAATCTATGTTTTACACCAAAAGCAACATTAAATGCTTTCTAAGGCAATCTGCCTGTGAACACTTATTTAACTTGTATGCTTTATCATGCCTTCAATGACTAAATCTTCAGAATATGCAAAAGATATATCAGCATACAGGAAATGAGAGGCAGGCAAACTCACATCCACCATGGGGATTTCCTCAGGACCGGGGCCGGGATGGTTGGGTCCGTTGGCCAGCATGCGGTTCGGATGCTCCGCACACATGTTCTGGTGCAGGTGGTTATGCATCTTCTTCCTTTGTTTCCTGAAAAAAGATCCAATATCAAATCTGATCTGTGATTTATACAATGACAGCAAATACTCTAATATGTAAAACAGGAAATGACCAAATGTCTACAGATAAGATGTACTGTACTAACCTGCTGATCACTAAAGTGAAACATACAAAAGTTACTGTGATTTGGTGTAGATTAGGGCTAGATGGCATGACCATTTATATATATATATATATATATATATTGTTTTAATAATAGGAATAATATTACCATTTAGTTTGTATCCAGTAGCAAATATAAAATGAATTCATTATAATAATTGCAACAATAATTAATTCTTTGAAGTATTGAAAAATAGGCATTGCCATGGTCATATAATTAAATTTTATTTGGTTTGATTTATTCTTGTTGTTGAATTTCCAGCTAAATTGCTTATTTTCTTATTCTAATAAATAAAATAATTTATATATCAGCAATGTATGTACATTGTACACTACTGTTCAAAAGTTTGGGGTATCTTATGCTCACCAAGGCTACATTTATTTGATCAAAAATACAGTAAAAAAGAATGATATTGTCAAATATTATTGCAATTTAAAATAATGATTTTCTACTTAAATATATTTTAAAATGTAATTTATTCCTGTGATGCAAAGCTAAATTTTCAGCATCATTTCTCCAGTCTTCAGTGTCACCTGATCCTTAAGAAATCATTCTAAAAAAAGAATTCTGCTGATTTGCTGCTCAAGAAGTATTTCGTATTGTAAATACTGAAAATGGTTGTGCTGCTTAACATTTTTTATGGAAACCCTGTTAATTTTGTCAGAATTCTTCGATGAATTGAAAAGTTAAAAAGAACAGCATTTATTTGAAATATAAATCTTTTCTAATATTATAAATGTCGTTAATGTCACATTTGATCAGTGTAATGCATCCTTGCTGAATAAAATGAGTAATTAAAAAAAAAAGACCCCAAACTTTTGAACAAGTATTATAAAAAGATATAGTGAATTTTGCTTATACCACCCAAAGGGTGTAGTTTTTTTTTTTTTGGTATGCTTTTTAATTTAATGTGTGAATGTGCACAGCTCTTTCTGGCGATCGCTAGAGTTCCCGGAGCTTACTTGGTTTTGCAGTATGCCACCACACACACGATGCCAACCACCAGCAGTGCCACGCAGATGCCCGTTATCGTCAGCACACGTTTTTGGTACAGCTCCTCAGCCTCTGAATGAACGAGAGCCATGGACAAGCACACACATATGCACAGACGCACAGAGAGACAAACACACATGTACATGACGACCATTGAACACAAAGACACACATACATATAAAACACACAACAGCATGTCAGAACTAACTCATTCAGCCTAAAACATTTTCTAACTTCAGTCTACATTTCATGTTATAGTTGTAAACAGTCATATTTGTCACTTCTAAACAGATTTATTTAGTTAAAGGGACAGTACACCTAAAAATGAATATTCCATCATTATTTACTAACCCTCATGTTGCTGCAAACCTGAATGATTTTATTTCTCCTATGGAACCAAAAAGGAGACGCTTAAAGCTTTAATTCTTTTAAAGTTCCAAATAATGAAAATGAATGGGGATTGGGACTGTCAAGCAAGATTTTCAGTGAATATTAACATCTGAAGCTATCGTAAAATATTGCACAAGACATATGAATGACTTTTATGATGCTTTCATGGTGCTTTTTTGTCCTTTTCATAGCTTGACAGCCCCAGTCCCCATTCACTTCCACTGTATGGAAGAAAGCAGCTTGGACCCCAATATGCAAATAGCCTATAATATATGTACATATATTAAACATCCATATATGAAATATATTGCAATATGTTAACATATATATCTAGCCCATATGAATATGTATGTTTATGTGTGTGTAATACATTTTTGGACATATATGTCACGTACATGTATATTCATCCTAAAACCTGTTAATGCACGTCAATGCAAGTAAATATAAAAGATAGACATGTATTAAAAAAAATTCTACAGATTTTTTGCATATATGATGTTTTAATAAAATGTACTGTTCACATATATGGTTGCTGCATAACATACCAAAAAAATAAAATCATCATATAGTATTAACATATGGACATTCACTATGGGGATTTTATATATGTTATAAACTTACATCACGTATGAGAAAATTATATATCACCTTATAGGTAACATAGCAATATCATAATATCATATATCTTGCTACAGGGCAATATATGTCATATATTAATTTCCAGACATTCCGCTAAACATCTAATTTTGTGTTTCATGGGAAAAGGTTTAGAATGACATGAGGGTGAGTAAACAATGATTGTCATTTTTTGAGTGAACTCTCCCTTTAAATCTAAAATCGTTATTTTTAATAGGCACTGAGGTGCATCAGATGTCATTTTAAAAACACATTTTAGATGGCTGATATCAGGTGCTCGGCAGCATGGGAAGGGCACAGCTGTGGTGCTTTCTCTGTCTGCCAGGGTTTCACATAAAGCGCATTATCCTGAAACAGTGGGAGAACTTTTGGCTACCTCCAGGACTGAAACCATACTGTGCAACACTGGAAACTCGAACTTTTTGGCTAGAAGTGTTTATAAAATGAAATCTCCGCCCCTCTGAAAGCCCATTACATGCATTATTCTATATATAAAATCATATGACCATGCTGAAACAGTGGGAGAACTTTTGGCTACCTCCAGGACTGAAACCATACTGTGCAACACTGGAAACTCGAATTTTTTGGCTAGAAGTGTTTATAAAATGAAATCTCCGCCCCTCTGAAAGCCCATTACATGCATTATTCTATATATAAAATCATATGACGTCTGAAGACAGAGCAGTCTGAGCTTATAAGTCTTGCGTAAAGCATGCCTGTAAAATAGAGTTAAAACACACAAACTGCATTATAAGAGCTCTTTGGAGAGGGTTGTTCATAAAACCTGATTAAACTTCACAAGCAGTTTTGGGATATTCATTATTACAACTAAATGTGTTTTAAAATCAACATGAAATCAAAACTAACCCAATTACTTTCTTAATGCACATTTCTGGTCTTTTTGTGAATGATTCATCTGTGCACATTATTGTGAAGTAATAAATGTTTGTTTTATTTCTTTTCATATTTTTATATTTATAATGTAAAATATTTAAATAAAAAGTAAATACATTTAACTTAATTTCATTAAAACTTTTCAAGTTCACATTCAATTTCTTTTTATATATATTTGAATGAATATACTTTAAATTATTTTATTGATTTTAAATGAATATATATATATATATATATATATATATATATACATATATATATATCACATTTAATTTTTTGTTTCACTCTGAAATATTACAGTACTAATTAAAAAGGGTTGCTAACACCATTTCATGTTGACTTTAAAACTGATTGGAGGGTAAAAAACATACATTTTGGCAACCAGCAAACCAAGGCTTTGATGAGCAGGTTTTATGAAGACCGTCTATACAGATGCCTTCAACACATATTTTTATATATGGGTCTGATTTTTGAAAACGAGAATATTCAAAACATCCTCTGGGGTGCTGAACGTGGGCAGCAACAGAGGAAGCATACAGAACATGAAGGGAGGGAATGAGAAAACGGACGGGAGGAAGTAGAGAAGAGAATTGAGGGCCAAACAGTAGGGGGATGAGTGTGTAATAAAAGAGAAACGCAGGGGGGAGGGAGGGGGGCGGTTAAGTCAGACACTGATATTGCATTGCATGCTTGTTACAGGAAACAGAGATCAGAGTACACAAAGAGGGAGAAAATGGAGAGTGTGATGTACCCAGACCATCGGCTAATGTACTCTAGTGGTGCAGACAAGAAGACAGGAGAAGAGACGGGCAACACTCATTTTACCCTTCACTCGGCTCCCTGACACATATGTTGTATGTAAATAAAAGTTTTATTATTTTTTAATGCACTGCAAATAATAATAATAAATAAGGTTCTTAATTAGTATATTTGAGCTGTTTCCCAGGAAAAAAATAGCTTACAAAAATATTTTTATATATTTTTTATAAAAAAAAATTATAAAAGGAAAAATTATGAAAAAATATCCTTAAAACAAGATAAATGTACCTGAGAAACAAAATTGCATTAGATATACACTACCTATCAAACGTTTTGCATAATTTATTTTTTTTTAATGCTTTGGAAATAATTATCTTATATGCTCTTTAATTCTCTCTAATGCTTCTATTATTACTACTGCATATAAAAATGTATATTTCAAATAAATACTGTTTTTTAACTTTCTATTCCTGAACAACAACAAAAAAGTTGTATATTATCATATAATTGATAGTTATAAGAACCATTCTAAAATATTTTAACATTAAAATATATTCAAATAAAAAAAGTTACTCTAAATTATAATTATATTTGACAATATTACTGTTTTTACTGTATTTCTGAAGAAATAAATGCAGGTTTGTTGGGCATAGCAGACTTCTGACTGGTATTGTACAAGTTGTTTTCAGGGAATATATTGTAATTTACCCTATTGACAATACACAGTCATGTGAAAAAGTTAGGACACCCTACTGAATTCCATGGTTTTCTGTATGGACATAATAAAAAAATGTATCTGGTCCTTGGCAGGTCTTACAATTTGGAAATTAAAACCTCAGATAAACAACGTCACATGACATATCACACTGTGTCATTATTTGATTAACAAAAATAAAGCCAAGATGGAAAAGCCATGTGTGACAAACTTAGGACACCGTATGATTCAGTTGCCTGTAGATCCACTTTTAGCAGCAATAACTTGAAGTAATCATTTTCTGTATGACTTTATCAGTCTCACATCGTTCTGGAGGAATTTTGATGATTTGCTCTAGTTTTATTGAGGTTTGTGGGCATTTGTTTATGCACAGCTCTCGCCACAGCATTTCAGTCGGGATGAGGTCTGGACTATGACTGGGCTTTTGCAACACCTTGATTCTTTTCTTTTTCAGCTGCTGTTGTGGATTTTCTGGTGTGTTTGGGATCATTGTCCTGTTGCATCAACCAATTTTGGCCCAACTTTAGCTGTCGGACAGATGTCCTCACATTTGACTCTAGAATACTTTGGTATACAGAGCAGTTCACGGTCGACTCAACGACTGTGAGGTGCCCAGGTCCTGTGGCTACAAAACAAGCCCAAAATCATCAGCCCTCCACCAGCATGTGTGACTAAGGTGTTTGTGCTGATATGCTCCTTAGGTTTTCACAAAACATAGTACTGTGCATTATGGCCAAAACATCTCCACTTTGGTCTCATCTGTTCAAAGGACATTGTTCTAGAAATATTATGGCTTGTTCAGATGCAACTTTGCAAAACTAAACAGTGCTGCCATGCTTTTTTAGATAGAAGAGGCTTTCTTCTGGCAAGCCTTCCAAACATGCCATACTTGTCACCTATTTTTCTAATTGTACTGTCATGAATTTTATCATTTAACATGTTAGCTGACGCCATAGAGTCTGCGGTGTAGTTCTTGGGTTGTCTGCCATTTCTCTGAGCGTTACACGGTCTGTTCTTGGGGTGAATTGCTTCTATAGAATTCTATAGAATTGCTTCTCTAAGATCATTGCTGATGTCTTACCTCCTTGGCATTGTGTTAACACACACCTGAAGGCTCCAGACCAGCAAACTGTCAAAACTTCTGCTTTTATAGAGATGCTCACTGTTGCTGATGATCACTGCTATTTGTGACCCTGGACCACAAAACCAGTCATAAGGTAAAATTTTCTGAAATTGAGATTTATATATTATATGGAAGCTGAATAAATAAGCTTTTCATTGATGTATGCTTTGTTAGGATAGGACAGTATTTGGCTAAGATACAACTATTTGATCATCTGGAATCTGAGGGTGCAAAAAAATCTAAATATTGAGAAAATCGTCTTTAAAGTTGTCCAAATGAAGTTCTAAGCAATGCATATTACTAATCAAAAATTAAGTTTTGATATATTTACGGTAGGAAATTTACAAAATATCTTCATGGAACATGATTCTTTACTTAATATCCCAATGATTGTTGGCATAAAAGAAAAATCGATAATTTTGACCCAGACAATGTATTGTTGGCTATTGCTACAAATATACCCGTGCTACTTATGACTGCTTTTGTGGTCCAGGGTCACATTTACCCTCTTAACTCCTATGTTAACCATAAGGATGTCCTAACTTTGTCACACATGGGTTTTCCATTTTGGCTTTATTTTTTTTTAAATAAATAATTACATGGTGTAATATGTCATGAGTTGTAGTTCATCTGAGGATTTATTTTCCAAATTTTAAGACCTGCCAACGAACAGATATTTTTTTATGTCCTGATACAGAAAACCATGGAATTAAATAAGGTGTCCCTAACTATTTCACATGACTACATATATATTTATTTATATATATTTATTATTATTTTGACAATGAGGTAAACTACAACATATTCTCGGAATATTTTGAATAAAACTTTAATAAACCCAAAACTAGTTTTTCTTAATGTTCCCCTCATAAAAATAGTAGTCCAATGAGAAAAATAATTGTTAATTCATTCAAGATATATTCTCTAAAAAGAGAACCAGCCTTATTATCCTACACACAATTTTTCTTCTCAAGTATTTTCTTTTAAATTAGTTTTATGTTTGGATATTTTACCGGAAAACATGTCAAAAACACTGGTTAAGATTCTTTTTTTGCAGTGTGAAGAATTACAAGCTATTCTAGACATCTTATTTATCTAACAAGTTTAATCACATTAGCATAATGTGTTTAAATCTAATAATTTATTACAGCAATAAACCATAGAAGGTGGTGGTAAAATCACTGTAACGCCTGGCCTTAAGTGGCTTATCACTTATAAAATGGTGTTTTGATAAAAGACATGAATTGCTACATTTCTAATAATAGCACAATAATATAATTCTAGAATTCAACTGATATACAGTCACAGAATAGGAAATATGCGTTTTATAAATATTGATCTACCTGACTGATGTGTTTCCTATATTCCTAAAAATGAGTGTCGCTTTGTCAGAGCTGAAAAAGTAAATCAGAAGCTGGGAGTGTATTTGCTTGTTCAAATATAGGACAGAGAAAATAGAACAAGACGAGTCCTTATGTGAATATGCTTAATCTATGTCATCAAATTATGTCATGAACCTTAAAAACTAAAGAATCAAACAAATAATAACTTCATACCCATGATTTCAATTCCAAGGTGCTCTGCCAATGCAGAAAGTTGACAATGTAAAAAAAAAGGAAAAAACAAGAAAACAGGTTTCAGGTAAAAATGTCCACTTGTTCAGATAGAGGCGGTTCACTAGAATGCGATCAGTGGTGTTGTTTGGTTGGTTTTGTTTGAGACATTGAGGTGAGTGACCGTACGTTCCAGTAACAGACAGACAATGCAGACACACACTGGCCAACTCCATATTCCCCATAAAACAGAAACGAAACCAACGGAAATACCAGTAAACAAACAAACAACACGCCTTTCTTGTTCATCGCATGTAAGCAAGCGTACAAAAATGCATGCAGACATAGACAGCCACACTTACGGCCATATTTACTGGTTTTGTGGTCCAGGGTCACACATTAATGATTTCTGAAGGATCATGTGACACTGAAAACTGGATTAATGTTGCTGAAAATTCAAGAATAAGTTAGATTTTAAAATTAGAAAACACTTATTTTAAATTGTAATAATATTTCACAATATTACTGTTTTTCCTGTATTTTTTTTTAGCAAATAAATACAGCTTTGTTGAGCATTAGTGACTTTCAAATACATTAAAACATCTTACCAACCTCAAACATTTGAACGGGAGTCTATAATATATATATATATATATATATATTATTGTTTAGTCTTGTTTTTTTAAAACACCACAAGTGCAGTACCGTCCATGCAATGTTTGGGCTGATATAATTTTCTGTGGACACAGATGCTATCATTGAGCTTAACTTGTATTGAACAATCCTTTAAATTATATAAATGAGTGCCTGTCAAACATGTCATGAATCTGTCTAATGGACAAATTCATTTATTAATCTAACTCTGTTCTATGGGAACATAATCTATATGTTAACATGCTTTATAGTTTATTGTATCATTTGCACTATATTTAAACTCTTCTCCACATTCCATTATACTTTGGGAAAAAATCTCTTTTTTAATAATATATCAAATGCACACTAAATCTGTTCACATCCATAAATTTCTACTTAATAAACCAATATAAAAACTCTGAATGGACAAACAGAGGCAGACATGTACATGCGTACACGCATCATAGCCAGCATGCAGCTTCAGAGCAGACAGACAGGCAAACAGACAGGAAGAAGAAATGGACATACTGTAGAAACCGGCCATAACGGAGGTTTGACAGCGTTCACCGGTATAGTCATTTGGACACCTGATGGAGGGAAACAAACCCGCAGAGGGAGAAGGAAGGAACGAGAGGGAAGGGGTAGAGGAGAGAGAGACATGAGGAGGAAGAGAGAGAGAGAGAGAGAGACGAGAGCAGAGAAACATACAGTTAGAACAACAGAGAACAACCCCAGCGAGCTGTTCCACCTGATGATGTCATCGCTGTGATGTCACAGCCTGCGGCCATGCTGGATGAGTTTGAACCTGAGGAAAGAGGGTCCATGTCATTTCATGCCATTTTTAGGATGGGTCTAAAAATACATAGGCATTGTGGGAAGCCTGATTCATTTCAATGATATAGAACTGATTAATTCAGACGGTTCAATTAGATGGCAATTCCTCAAGGGGGCGCTTACACGCCTCAAAAACTCCATTGTCCTCCGTTGGGCCACAATCAAATATTAAAGGGGTCATATGATGCGATTTCAATTTTTCCTTTCTCTTTGGAGTGTTACAAGCTCTTGGTGC